TTTAACTTGAGAAAATATTTTATTTTTTATACATATTTATGAATATATTAATTTATCTTTCACTTGAGCAAAATTATTTAAAACTACTTTTGAGACACATTTGAGTTTGATGGGAAGTTGGGAATTGGTAGATTGGTAAAACACTTAAATATGTTAAAGAATATTTGATTTAGAAAAGATAAAATCCAATAGTGTAGTTTTTAATACAATTTGCTAACAAATTGTTTAAGTAGAATTAAATTCAATTTTCATAATCAAAATTGAGTGAGTATTATGGATATATAGGAAACAAACATAATTGAAAAAAATATATTATATCATTATACAATATTTGAATCAAGAATTGTCATTTACAGTAATAACTATTTAAAAAGTAATGTATAAAGTGATTCATAATTTGGTTGATAATCTAGTTTTTTTTTATCAAAATTAAACTCATAATTGTTAAGGATTGCACATTTGTGAAATAGTATAAGGGAGTTACTATGGTACCCTCAAAAATAGAGGGGTTTCAATACATTTTTTTATATAAATTCATAAAATATTTTAAAAAAATTAATTTAATTATAAAATGAATAATCTAAATTATACTTATAAAATAAAAAGTAAGATAAAATTATAGAAATTAAAATTATAAGATTTTAATAATATTATAAAATATTAAAAAAGAAAAAAATTAATAAATAGTAAAAATAAAAAATTATTAAAATTACAATATAAAAATTCTAAAATTTAAGACAAAAAGACAAAAAAAAATATACTTAAAAAATTATTAAAATTAAAATATAGAAATTCAAAATTTTTAAATAAAAAGATAAAAATATACTTAAAAAATTATTAAAATTAAACTATTTAAATATAAAATAATATTATTACAAATAAACTGGAATATATAAAATAAAAATAAAATAACTAAATAATTTAAAAATTAAAAGAATAAAATATTAAAAAAAATATACTTAAAAAATTATTAAAATTAAAATATAGAAATTCAAAATTTTTAAATAAAAAGATAAAAATATACTTAAAAAATTATTAAAATTAAACTATTTAAATATAAAATAATATTATTACAAATAAACTGGAATATATAAAATAAAAATAAAATAACTAAATAATTTAAAAATTAAAAGAATAAAATATTATAAATATTATTTAAATAAATTATTAAAAATATAAAATATAAAAAAACTGTACCGGTACCCTCTCAAATAAGATGGGTACCGTAGAATTTCTCAAACAGTAAAAGGTGTTTCCATTTTTATTTACGAGAAGAACATGTTACCCCAAAGTAGTCAAGGTAGAGCCATCGCTTTTCCTTTTCTCATGGCTAATTTATTCTGCTGCTTACTAGAAAGACAATAACTGTCTTCACTACTTAGCAAGTTTTGACCTTTCTCTTTTTATCACATAATTTACAAAGATGGTGGAAAATTGTTATGGTCATGTATTAAATGAAGAAGCCTACTTCTTTTTGGCTTGGATTCAAATGGAAGTATAAATTATTTAGATACTAGTTTAAAATAATTTTTGAGAATATATTTATCGAAAATAAAAAGTCTTTTATTATAGAAAAATTCTTAAATATTTTTTTACTCTTGTATTCAAATATACTCATAACAAGAAACAAATGTGACTGATATAGTCTTAAAGTTTTGGATGGAATACGGTATTGAATTCTTTTGGTAGGTAGTCTTTGTTTATCACACCGTCAATCATTTCAGATGCTTTCTCAGAGTCTTCAACAGTGATATTAATTAGAGCCTGAGAATGAGATACTATTCTTTAGTCAAGACTCTCCATGATAAATGTACCCTCTGCTCACGTCAATTTTGAACATGACCAAGTCTTGTTCATCTTCCTCAAAGCAAATGGACACAAAATTTTAACATTACCTATCATGTGCATTGGAAGATCCATTAATGCCCTATATAGTATAAACCATGGTTCTCATATATTAACCGACAAGGGTGTGATGTGCCTGCATTGTCGCATCACACACAGAGAAGGCATTGAAGGGTCATTACAACACCATGAAATCCTACAATAGTCTTTTAGAGTACCGTAGACAAGGGAATTCAATATGATGTGAACTCTTTGCATGCTCATGCTCAATTCTCAATGACAAATGAAAATGAGATTTCATAGTTTTCGGTGTTTGTTTGGATTATATCTAACTTTTTCATAATCAATTTCAATCATACACTGTAAGCTCTTAAAAAAAAAAGTAGGTTTAGTTCAACTTTACAAATTTAACTTTAGAAATTATATCCTCGAAACTTAATGGTCGATTAAGACAAATTATATTGATCAATTGTATGAACTTCTTCATCCTTATATATTTGAGGCTCGAGAATTGTGTACTCTTTAAATCCAAAATTAATCAAAATAAACTATTGTAATGAGATATATGTAAACTATAGTGTTGATTATTTACCGACTTAGTCGAGACAAATACCTAATTATTTAACATCTTAATAAATAAGATAAGAAGTATTTATGCTAAATTATTTTTAAAAATATCTCAAGAGAATTTCATATATTAATGCACTTAAATAAAATTATTTAACACCTTCTTTGAATTCTTTTAGTCTTTGACAATTGCTAAGTCTTCAGCCTTTCTAGAGGCGAGGAATATGAGTAAAAACAGCTAGTGATCAAAGCTTAAGGTAGTTTTCACATTGCAGACCAATTAAGGATGAAAGCTTGTGGCGGCACTCAAGATATGAAATTCGGTTGTTCCAATTTCCAAATATAAATTTGGTTAATAATGGAATTCATTTAATCTGCAGTATCTGCTGTGGTTTCTCTGCATAATCGAATTCGGACACATGGAAGTAATGTCGTGGGTCTCTTACACAATTGTCATTCCACTAGAGAATTGTTACATTGTAACAAAAAGTTGATTAAATTATATTTTTATTTTTTTTAAAGGATAAGAAATGCAACGTTATCAAGGCTTGCAAGTACCTGTGTTACAGTGTGTCTAGTCGACTTGCACATGTATTTTTACTAACGTACACCAACTTGATTAGACACACGCATTTGTAACCATGGAGTTGGTTTATTTTTCTAATGATTTGGGTATCCCACACATTTTACATATAAAATGCAACAAAAGAGAAAGAAATCTAGAAATTAATCATATTGAGAGAAAGTGTATGCATAATTTACCCTAATGAATAATTTATCTGTAGAAAACTATTCATATTTTGAATAAAGATTTCTGATCAATTTCCATCAAAATTTGAATTGAGTGTTAAAACAATCATTATAGGTTTGAATGTCCCATAGAACCATAGACTTACCTCTCAAAAACACCTATACTTAAAACATTTATATGATTTAGTAATGGTTGAGTTATAAATTGTTGAATTTGGAATTAGTTTGAGAAATTGGAGAATATGCAATAAAATAAAGTTTGGCTTAAATTAATAATGGCACCATACTCCCATTTCAAGAGTAAGATACCAACTCTTTTAACTTTCAGCAATCAAAAAATTGATAAAACAAAAAATACAAGAACAAAGTGGAATTTGTATTGTCATGGAAGTTGCAGAGAAGAGTCCCTTCGTTGTTGTCCTTGACAGAAAAAGATGAAAGCTATAGTCCACACCATCACACACACTCCGGGACAAGCACAACTCATAGGGTCATTTCCCTAAAAGGGTCGCAGTTGATGGCACAGTGGACCCTTTTTCTCTTATGGTAGTATGGTAGAAATATAATACTAGTTGTTGTGTTGTGCTTGAATTGGCTTTGTAGATCCATCACATGGGTGTCCTTCACAACTGCTAGCTGGATAGGCTTTATGGTTAGTCCAAGTTCCTATAGGCATTAGACATTGTAGTATGGTGAGGGAAAGATTAATGCTCACTTGTCTCACCAAATATCTGCCAATTACAGAGTGTTCGACCCTATTTATGACACTTTTGTTTTCTCATTTCTTGTTTTGAAAGGCCACTGTTACTTTGTCCTTTTGGAATCTTTAATTTCTTTTAACATAAAAGTTATTAAAAAACTAGTTATTGGATAATTATGTTCTTCAAATATGTTGTTATATGTTCGATTTCTGGTCATATGATAAGATAACTTTATTAACGGGAACAAAATTCAATTTAGTGATTTTTATGTTTTTGAAATAAATTAATATCTGATTATCAGTTTTAATATATTTGATGAAAAAAGTTATTAAAATAGCTAGACAGCTAAAATATGTTGATCTCATATTTGGTGAAACTATGTTAATTAGGGGGGGTTTTATACATGACCTTTAAATGAAAAAGCAGGCATCAAGACAAATAAAGCAGTTACGTGATTTTTAGCATTCTGGTAGAGACAGAGCATACGTAAAAAGGTCACTCATCATCATTTATACATATACCAAGCCAAAATAATCATGAGGGATATGAGAGAGTGTATTGAGAAAAATTTAAATATCACATTTTCTAGATCATAAAAAAAAAGTTACCCACTATTTATTCACAAATTACATTCAATAGTGTTAAATATGAGAGAGTGCATTGAGGAAAAATTTAAGTATAACATTCACTAGAAATAAGACATCCAAAGAATATATAAGTGGGGGATAAATGCCATTTTATTTATAAGCAAATTTTATAGAATTGAATTAAAATCAAATTCACTTTCTGAAAATTCAAATGGATAATTTTTTTTACATCAATTAAGAAATTTAATTAAAGGATCCATGATAAATTTGTCCTTCAACTTAGGACTACATTACCAAAAATCTTCCACTTTCAATCAAAACCATTACTAATGGTCATTTAACAACACAAAATTATAATAGTCCTCAATGATCCTTCAATAACACAATTATACTCCAATACAAAGTCATCAAAGTCCATCATGAAAACTATCAATTTTCAAAAGTCGCTTCTCATAGTATTTAATCATTTATTTATTTTACGTAAATACCTATGGCGGTTTACTATACTAACTATGTAAACAATGAAAAGGGAAAGAATAACGAGTTTAGGTGAAGTAATTAACAAATTGGAATCAGTAACCAAAAATATACTAATACAATAAGTTGTACTGCAATGAACAGCAAATAAACAAATATGGCAAAGCATTGATCTAAAATGATGGGTTTTCCCTATTAATTATATAGGGTCCTGTATGTCCTTCAGTAAAACTTAACATAAACAGAAGTCCGATTCATATATCAAACTAAAAAGGCATGATTTAGCTCAAATATATATATAAAAGAAAAACCAACAACAGCATAAATTAATTTGGATTGATTATCTTCAAAACGTGCACAACATTAATTAGAAGCCTATCGTGTCATATCTTTCACTTTGCCACGCTCTCTATGAATCCCTTTAAAGATCCTTTTGGTTGAAGACCGAAGCCCTTTGCATCTGATCTCTTCATAATCCTCAGCCTCTTGCATGATTCGATAAACATTCTGTTAAAGCAACATGATTAAGCACATATATAAGTTTACATCATAAAATAAAAGGTTATATATATTATAAAAGCTTTAGATAAAAATATAGCTAAGCACATGTTCATAGAATCTCGTTACTTCAAGTAGCTACTAACTTTTGTATTCATCCTTCGTAAACATGCAACCAAACACCTACTAAAATCAGAATCTTCAATTACTAGTTTATTTTTTTAAGGAAAAGTCATATATTTCATGAGGCATTCGATCATTCTTGGAAATGTTGCCAACTAAGAAGCTTTTTTCCCCCCTCTTTATTTTGATGTATCCAATAACAATAATGGCTTCGGCCTTTTCAGGGTAGGTCACTTGGTTCCTAATTTGATGCTGAACATTATAAGGAGGGATTCACGCATGTCGGCTATATGGGGTCCAACATATATTGTCGGTATCACATAAAAAAATTGTCGATTTTCACTTTCCTACATTAACTTTTCTAAAGGTCTCACCGAAAATTAGAAAATTCTCGTTAATTATGAAGTTTTGAATTTAATAAAACACCTTAGATGATATTGGGAAACTTATTCGTATTTCAAACTTTGGATAATTAACTTCGTTTTATGTCATTTAAATACATAAAGTTTAGATCGATTGGATTAATTTGTAAACCACGCATGCACTCTTGATATAGTAAACGAAATATGCGTATTACATAGTTTTTAAACATGGAATGATGATGTGCAGTAGAAACTGTTAGGTGGCTTCTTGACTCAGCAAACGCAGAAAGCTGACTCTATAACAGTACATAAAAGTATTTCATGGTTTACTTGACTCGTATAATACACGTACGATTATTGTCTCAGAAAACATTTATAGATGCTTCAGCCCAAAAGAAGGGGGGAAAATAATAACAGATGGTCCATACAATGTATTGTTATCTACTCTCTGATCAATATAGCTTGAAGACCTTACAATTTTTTTTCCTCATTTTCTAATAACAATTTTATTGTTTCACTAGCTAGCTAGTGTAGATTTTTTTAATAGAAATTAAATTGTTAATATTAGTATAAATGTGTTTTATTACTGGCTAACAAAACGGATTATACCAACAATTAATTTACTAATATTGTAACATAATGTTTGTACAAATTCATAATGTTTATACTATCAATTCAATTTGTGTTGGACAAAATTCATATCAATGAAGACAGGTTTACCATTGAACGGTTAGTAAATATATATATATATTTACTGAGATATACTTGAATATTCAACCAAAAATATAATGACTATTTTTTTTTCTAACCACACCACACATACATAGAATATATATTTTTTTAGCTAGATTGGACTCCTTTAAAGTAACACTTGCAATAAATAAATAATAATTGTTGATAAAAAAAAATAGAATAATTAACTTTTAACAATATGATATTTTAATAGTGCATCTATGTGTTTTATAAATTATAATAACCTGAACTTTGTTATTTTATTAAAATTCGTATCTTTTTTTATTTTCTTAATGAGCCTTTCACTTTGAATAAGTCCTGTTGATCTAAACATGAGCTAGTTATTTGTTATGTGTCCTTTAACTTAATAAATCTAACTAAGTTTAATTAAAAAATGTATTTAGTGAAATTACATAGACATTCAACTAATTAAAAGATCTGATCTTATCATATTCAATATCATAATCAATATATAAATTCAATCACAGCATAGACGACAAATTATTATTCTCTGCAAAAAAAAAAAAAAATAATAAAAATAGCAGGTGGGAATGGCGAAAAGTACTTACTCCCATGGGACATCTCCAACCAGCATCCAGTCACCATCTTTGTCCTCATAAATGGGAACTTGTTCAGAGTTGTCCGCATTCTTCAACGATTCCACTGCAAACACATTCCGCTAAATAAATATTATTTCCGCTACTCATTATTATTTTTTTTTCCTTTTGTTCCATTCAACCTATTCTAATCGAGTGTTAATCATGGCTATTTATTTAATTGCACATACCTTAAATTTAATTCTTTGTCATGAAAAGAGAAGTTCAACTTTATGTATACACTAGTTGCACGCCATCACATAATAAGCAGAATGTCTAATAATTATATATACTACTTGGTCTCCCACTTTGTCCTTCTGTCTCTCTTTTCCAAATTATTTTACTCCTGCTATTCTTTCTAGGACAATTATTAAAATTAAAGATTCTTCATAATCCTTATGTTGTACAACATAATATTCACCTTTCAATTTCGCTTAACTCACAATATAATTAGCATCATCTAATTCCAGATTCTGCTAATTAAGTTCACGAAGAGCATATGTAGCCAAATTATGATAATTAAAACCTATCAAACACGTGTTGTTCTTAAATTGTAATTACAAAAAGATCAACAAAGAAACGCAAAGGATATTATGTTGGATTGGAACTATATTCAAATTAAAGTTTATTAGTTTAATAGTAAGACTTTTTTATGCTGAAAAAGTTTATTACAGTGGAAGCCTGTTCGATACTTTTTCATGATGGAATATTAAAAGTTTGTTTGGGAGGTAGGGTTACTATTAGAATTAGTGTACGATTGGTCTTGGCTGTTAGAACTTAAAATTTGATACACAATATATCTCTTTCACTAGATCCATCTTAGTAGTTTTGCGATTTGATTCATCTTCTCTTATTTAGGGCAAGCATATTTTAAGCACAGCATATAATTCAATGTGTTATTTTGCATATACGAATTATCATAATAATATTGTATATTCTTATGGTTTAGAAACGATGAAGTTACATATTTTTGCATGTTTATTAGCATGTAAAGGTACGAGGAATATTGAGAAGAAGTAAAATGTATAGAAGTAATTAACTAACCCATTCCATAGCAACCAAAGAGCTTTTCCAAAGCGAAGGCTAAATCGGAGTAACCCTTATGCATAGCAAGGTCGATTTTACGCAAAAATGGAGCACCGTCCATGCTAACCTTCACGTACATTTTCGAAGCTTCGTTGATGCTGTTCTTCTTCCGGTATGAGCACACCGGAGGCCACCCCACCACTTCATTCTTCTTCTCCATTTTCCGGTCGCCGGAGGAGCTATTTTCGTCTCCGACACCCTCAATTTCCGAGAACACCCTCTTCTTCTCATTCTTGTTCACCACACTCTCGGGTAGACCCAACCTTAGCTCCGTGATTTCAAGTCCAAGACCTTCTTTCTCCATAAGGGTGTGTATATGATCAAACTCAAAAACTTTTTTTTTCTTTTTGTTTTTGTGGAAAAATAGTGGTTTCTCTTTTGGCTTAGAGTATTTGATGTAGTAGTGAGGGATATATGATATATGAAGAAAGGGCTTGGTGTTATAGTGTTATATATAGAAAGTGAAAGAAAAAAGGACTTAGTGGGAGCAATGACAGGTCAAATAAGGCGAAGTGGTCGGTCACATGAGAAACAATTGTGGGGACAACTTTGTCCCCTTCGCAAAACCACCGGCACCATAATAATAACTTGGATATGGGACACATCCTACGACTCATGATGTCTTGTGAGTGTTTCTTTAGAGATTTCATTTGATCATAGCCGTTTGATTAGATGACTAGGAACATGTCATGTGATTCGCTTGATTCAGGGAGCTCTATGCAATTAATTATATGTTGGGAGAGGGTTACATGCAAGAAGCTGCATTATTATGTAAATTTACCATCCCATCCCATCTTTGTTAATATCACTTGCTTATAGGTTAATTTATTAATTTCCTCTTCTTTTATGATCTATAAATCATATCTACCTATTCCATGTAATTTGGCAAGAAGAATATCAAATATCATTTTCGTGTGTTTGTATACATGTTCCCACACAATGAATGAATTCAATATTACAAAGTTAGGTAAATTAATTCTATTTTCTTTTGTCGGCAGGAATTACCAATACTAGCTAAGATATATAAATATGATGTGTTTTCAGTGAATAGTAAAGAAGAAATTAATTTGATATAGTCACATTTGTTACGAAACATATATATGTATGACCAATTCTATGTCACAATGCATGTGATTTGTGAGCATCGTGTCATGCATATTGATGATGATGCAAAAGGACCAAGGGACTGAAATGGCCAAGCTAGGTAGGACCCGAGGCAATTCCTGCAGATGTATTCATGCAACAAATTAAAATTCATAATATATATTTAACAGGAATAAAAAAAATTCAGAGAAATTTGAGATGATTAAATATGATTTGATGGGAAAAAACTTATTGTCTGTGGAATGTGAAGGATCACAGAAAATCATACAAGTCAAACTAGAGAATCTCAAGGATCAGAAACACTTGGATTGGGGCCTCAACAAAGTTAGTTATAAACGCGTAAAGCCACGACGATATTCATCTTCATTTCAATAGTTCATCAAGTAATTTTTTAACATGCGGTACATAAAACACTTTTCTAACGCATATAAGTGAAGTGAAAAACATGGCCAAGATTTTACAAATGATAAAAACAAGTTTTAATTAAAAGAAGTATATCGGATAGGTCATTTGACTATCAAAAATTATTAAGATCAAAAAATTTTAACATCATCAATATATAGCTGAAGAGATCGTATGACCAAAATCTTTAATCTATCATTTCGACATCTTTAATCTATCATTTCGACATTTTCAATAGTCGAATGAATCATGTAAATTAATACAATTCTATAGAATTACATAACTGAGATTCTTAAAATATTCCTTGGATACTCTTAATAGTCGAAGGGATCATGCAACTTTTTGACACTCTTGACAATTAAAGTAGTGAGAATATCTTGTTATAAGTACAAGAAGTATAATTTTTTTTTAGAGAATATGTTGTTTGATATTTTAATAAGATGGATGGATGAAATCAAAATGATGCATATATAGCAAAATAAAATTCCCAATATATTATTAATGTTATTCAAATCATCATACAGTCAAATAGCTTGTAATATATTTGCCAACCATTTGGGAAGACGTAGTATAAGAATTAGGATTCCATGTAGTATAAGTTGTAGACAGAAAAGTATAAAAGAAGATATCTCGAAGTATACATTTGGAAACTTTAATCACCCAAATATTATGTTCTTTCTTAAAATTTGAAGCTGATATCCCTAATAATGGTTTCGAACAAAAACTAAGGATCTTTAGTGATCAGAACGTATTATAAACTTTACGATTGAACCGATTGGGGAATATATATGCGCAATTATGGATTCCACTGCCACTTTTTATATAACAAGAAGAATTATAATAAATACGATCATTTCACTTTAAAGTAGTACAGGTTATTTTAAATTGATGAATAAAAGGTTGCTAACGGCTCCATTATGACTTAAATTAATTCCATTGAAGACAAATCTATCTTGTATTTTGGATTGCAACAATCGATATATTCCTTGAATTGCCAAAAAGCTTAATTAGACTTAATTTTAATTTCAAGGCTAATAATTTATGGATGTTGTTACATGATTGATGTTTCCCCAAATACAAGCAATAAATCAAGCATATACAAATACCAATACGCCCACATGACATAATACCTGCATGAGTGCAAGTGGATATGGATCTTATTTAATTTCAATTTAATGGTACAGCTGATGGAAGAAGGTTCATTGTTTCAAGAACAGAGATAAATTATTTATTAGTTTTCAAAACTCATGAAGGAAACAATGTCGTTATGGAGAAGAAATAGGTATATTAAAAAATGAATTGACATATTATTCAGTAAACATATATTAATTATCAATAATAAAAATTAAAAAAAATTAATAAATCATTAATTTTAGAAAAATAACAATAAAAAAAACAATAAATATTGACAAAATAATTATAAAAAAAAAATAGAGAAAGTATTGATAATCATAAAGGAAGACCCACTTCCGGAAGAAAAAATACCTCTAATCCCAACCAACTTAATAGTAAATGATTTGCATCATCTAATAACAATGGGAATTGGGAAATTATATAGCTTCCCCTTTCGGCAAGTTCACATGGCAATTTCAGTATTTTTTTCTTCGTGAATTTCTAGACAGATACTGATCATTGTTGGAGTTGCGTAGGTTTTAGAAATACAAGTGCGTTTAGTTAAACTGGCTAAAAGTTAACTGAAATCTGAAGAATTAAGTTAAAAGATGACAAGTTATTAATTATATGAATTTGGAAAAAAATAATTGTAGAATTAAATTATAGTATTGGTATGAACCGTAAAAAAAAAAGAGTAATTAATTTTTGTCGAAGACCATGAACATATACAAAATAAATATTTTTATTTAAATATAATTTATTTCATAAGGTTAATATTTAAACTTAAGATATTTTGATTAATATTTTTTATCTATCATAATTATATTAACACCAAGATTTGAATTTAGAACTCTATGTATATTATTTTAACTTTTCAATATTAGGCTGATATTGGTTTCTATAAATTATAAATTAGATTAATGACATCAAAATTTAAATTTAAAATTTTATGTATATTATTCTAACTTTTCACCAGATTCACTTTAGTTTCTATAAATATAAAACGATAATAAATGTATAGTTAATCACTTAATTTCAATATGAAACTATGTCATTTTGGAACCATGTATTATGAAATAAATGATGAACTATATATTTTTAAATACTTATAATTTAATATTCTAATTTATTTCAAATGATTTTTATCTTAAAAGATTAGGACAGTTATTTTTCTCATTTATGAATATATTTATTAAATAAATGAGATGATACGATACAAATAATTAGATACATTATTATTTTATGATTTTATTAAAAAATACTTTATAATTATTGAAAGAAAGTCTAAATACAGTGACTTGAATTTCGAAAGCTCAAACCCCTCGAAATTAGTTTTGACCAAGGACAGATTAGTAGAATGAGGAATCTCATGAACACTCTCGATCAGTCTTAATTATCTCAGACTCTGTTAGGCTTACTCGAAAATCATGTGACTCGAAAAAGGGTGTAAAAACTACTCGAAACAAAAGATAAAGGTCAAACACCTACCAAGATTAAATTGAGAGCCTTATTTGTTCACATGTGAATGTGTTCGAATAGAATTAATTAAATTGAACAAAGGAGTGCTCGAAAATTTATCTGTTGTTCATTAAGGGGTTAAGCTAGAACGCGGTCTCGATAGCAACTCGGGAATGTAATAGTAACTCGAAATTGTAGAGTTGTTATTGAAGGGATCTTAACAGTTAAGGCACACTAAGGTGGTTATTAAGGGTCGAATCGAGTAAAGTTGAAGCGTGAGGCGAACGGTTATGGGAAGTTACAATTTAGAGTCACGTAACAAGCATAGTGGATAGCGGTTATCCCCTAGTGGCGTACATGCATGAAATTAACCGTTCTTGATTGGCTCTATAAATACAGAAGCTACGTACCTTCACAGGGGTCGGAAAAACTCATACTTGAATTAACTTCTGAAGCACTCTCTGCCTACACACATATGGCTTTCGTGCACAAGATCGTTTTTGGGTATGACTACTTCTTGGCCACGTTTATTATTTTTTTTAGGATTAGGAGTAGTTTAGTTGTCTTTTCTCCTTTTAATCACTTATTCAGATAGCTTTTACACGTGAAATTGTAACTCTTTAAAGTAATGTGAACATGATTTGTATTGCAAGTATTCGTATTGTGCATTCAGTTTATTTGCGAGTTTATATGCATGAACATTATTGCTTGTTGATTATTGACGAATATCTGGAAACAGGTAATTGTTAGTCTTTCTACTCCGTCTCTTACTCTTCGTAAAAATTTTAATACCTAAATTGAAACGAATCTCGTGCTAGTCTAAATATAAAGAACCTATAAAACTAATTCCACCGTAAACAAATTGGCACGCCCGGTGGGACTTGTTTAAGGAAAGTATCAGAACATAATTGGACTAGTTTTAGGTGTGTGAGTTGCATGAGATTAAGGAGTGGAAGAACAATGTCTACGTCTAATAGAGAAACAGGTACTAACAATAATAATCACGTAGATGTAGAACAAGCAAATTCTAATCCTGATAATGTGACTAATGTGACCAGGGGGGCAACGTCTTCATCCCCTGTGTTACTCGAAAACACAGCTAGGCAAACAAATGTTACTCAAGAACTAGCGAATGTCACTAGGGAATATCCCTGGGGTATGCCACAGAATTGGCGAAATACCCAACCTGCGCATATCGAAATGCCAATAGCGTTAATAGGACCCAATTCACAAATGCATGTATCCCCACAGGGATATAATCCTGGGCCGAATGGCATGGGTTTTGTTATGCAAGACCCGTATCAGCATATAGGAACAAGTTAGGAGGGTTCTTTGATTCGACAAGGCAGCTATGTACCTAC